GTGAGAAACGTGACATCACTGCTATGAATTCCACCCAAAAAAAGGATGGCGCGAGCTAACAGCTAGTCACACGTCATTTCATTCTCAAAAAATAATAGGAGCTAATGTTGGCAGCTAGGTGCAGTATTCTTGGCGTGTGGTAATACATGATGTCATTCACAAGCATGTGCCTATTGTGGAATGATAATAAAATCTGTGGCCACCTTTAATGAATGACAGTACATTCTAAAGTGTAATCAAGGGTAAATAACACAGACCTCTAGAGCGTAATTGGATACAAACAAGTCATGTGATGTTGAAAAGAAAAAAAACTGATACGGTAGAGGTTTGGGAGTATAGTTAATGAATGCATTAACAGGGCCGGATACTGCACCACTGCTCAGTCTTGCTGCTATGTTTTCCAAGTACCCATTTGCATTTGAATTGAAAACAGTCCCTGTGGTCCAGAAAGCATTTTTTTCCCGTAGACCGCCATTATCAAAAGAGACATCTGTAAAACTGTTAAATACGATGGATCAAATTCATGGAGTCTTAGCCACAAAAGTGAGTTTTTATTTCTTGTCTATGGACTGCAGATTGTGGGAGAAACCAGTCAGTGGGCAGCTAATGGTGTAACCACAACAACAAAGCTTCACTAAGAGCTACAAAGTGTTCGAGTCACTTTAAGAGGGGTCACAGTGTTTCTACCCAACATTACACAAAACAGTCTCTCAGTAAAATCTTACCAAGTCTTATCTGCACCTGAATCTAATCTAACTTTAACTGTAGCTTTATCATGTCACAGAAGAGATTAGGGGTGCTTTGTAAAAGGTATCCTGGTGATAGGCGTGGCAGATCAAAAAGTGCTTCGTCTATATGTGTCGAGGGCAATGAAAGCTGATGTAATTTGTTTTTATTTTGAAAGATTTGTTGGAGAGTTTGACACATCATTTGAAAAAGTACTTTAAAGAAGCCGGGGATTTGTCTCCATCTGTTACATAGATTTTGAGTAAATACATTAAAAAAAACCTGCATTTTTCTGCAGGAGAAGACATGTTTTAAATTTGCTTGAGTTGTTGATGAACTGGGTTAAAACAGAGGTGACCTTACCCATTTGCTCCTATTGAGGTAAAACTTGTGTTTTGAGTTTTGTATGTCTTGTATGAAGAAGTAAACTGGATAAACATGGAGAATACATCGCTTTAAATGTTGTTTTAATCTAAAAGATGTTTGCGTTGCTTTTTCTTTTCTTTTTTTTCCTGCAAAATTCAAAAGTGGACCTCAACCAATCTGAAAGTTCATCATCTTTCCTTCTCCATCATATGAAAATCACATTACCCACTCTCAGTTTAGGGGCTGAATGAATACAAGTGGATATACTGGGCATTGACAGAATGCATATTTCCAAGTATGAGATCACACTGGACATATTAAAAAAACACTGGCATACACATGCAACCCTTGTATTTAAGATTTTGTCATCAATCGCCGTGTGTTATTCTGTTTAAACACCAGTGAACAGTACACCGTATATAAATCTTTGTCGTCACATTGTCGTACCTCGAGACCATCCGTGGCTCTCAAATCCAGCTACGAGTCCACCATCTCAAGGCGCCTATTTCCTGGTGTTTTTGTCAAAAACCATTTTGTGAGATTTGAAACAGAACATTGCTGAGGGAAAGTAGGTCTTTTGAGAAACACCTGTTGATTTCAAAGGGACTGTGATGCAATGGTCTTGGCTTTGCTCTAGACCATGAGGCCCGCTTCGCCTCTCGCACACGCACAGCAGTTATCCTATTCTGCTTTTTCGGTAATCCAGACTCAGTGGGACCACATGCCACTTGAATTTCCTTCAAGTGCTGACACATGTCCCTCCAGCACAGGTTTTCCAATTACAGTGCTTGACTTTGACGGCTTGACTTTTTATTCTATAGAGGAGAAAGCCAAATATGGGTTTAACACATGTAGAGGAAATAATGTGAGCCTAAGCAGTCTTTATGTGTTATTTTAACAAATATTTCACATATAAATTTAAACTCATTTTAAGCCAAGTAATGACTTGTTACCTATACCTGCTGGCAATATGAGATGCTGGCATAGTCTTTAGACTTAATTGGGTTTAGGGCTCAGCCTCACACACGGTTTAGTAAAGTTAAACCTGAGCTGTCCTGTATGTGATCTCATTCTCGTGGGCCACCC